TTCTCTACAACGGTCCAAGGAGAGAATAAATTCTGATATGAATGAGATTACCAGCTTCCCCCTGAGTGTGTGTCGAGGGAAGCGGATGAACGAGCCACGACTTCAACGGGCTAAACGTGGCAGCGGTGGCCAGGCATAGCTCATGCAGTGCCGCTTGCCTTGGCGAATAGTTCTTCTATCAAGACTTGGCGGCGCTTATTGCTAACAATCAACCCTCCCGACAGGACAGAGGTGATGAAGCGGACTCTATTGTGGAGAATAGACTTCTCTTTCTCCGAAACGGCAATAAGATATGCTTTACGTTTCTGCGCAGGGTAGACACAGCACAATCCGGAAATACAATTATATCCCTAATTCTTTTATCAAGACTTCGCGGCGTTTGTTGCTCGCGGTCAAGTCCCACAAAAAGGGCATGCCCCTCATCAATCCACACAACACCCACACCCCTTCTGCTGCGGGGCTTATGTTCACTTCCGCCCTTCTAAATAACGTATATTCTAACTCGATTAAAATAGCAGGTGACAGGACATTCACTAATACACAGTCTCGACGATGAAGTCTACGGAGCCACGTACTACTCTAGGATCAAAATGCCTTCATTTCTTTCCCACAGAAACAAATAGGTTTTTCAATATCGAGAAAGATATTTCGCGGCTTAAACACAAGAAAGCGTACTAACCTCATAGAACGTCAGACGAATGGCAGCAAAGTCCTTCATGATCTCCAGCTCGTCGGCGTATTTCTGAACCTTCCCGTCAGCGTTGAAAAGGTGATAGTTTTGTGTACTTAAAGAAGACTTGAGACGGAATAGTTTCACCAAAGCTTCGTGATCCGCTCCTTCAAGTTTTTCTAATAGATAGCAATAAAACACAAACACGTCGTCAGCGGCGATTCCCACACTGCAGACGATTCCCTGCCTTTTGAAGCTTAAAAGAGTTAAAAAACTTGGATAATTATAGACTAACTCGAGCGCAACTGTCAGTATATATACACAGGGGTGGCACTACCCATCATGTATAGCTTAAGCTTCCCAA